CAGTTTTGAAATTTCAAATCCAATTTGGAACATAATGAGGTATGGTAAAACATAAAAATAAATCTTTTTCAAATCAAGAAATGCCTAACACTGAATCACGTTTTTATAACTATGCTTTGTATCTGTTATATTTAGGTTATATAAAAATCAGACTGTTATTAATTAGATGTACTTACTTGTGTGAGTACTTTGAAAATTCAAAATATGCAAAGAGTTGTTATTACCATTTAACAAAAATCACATTTCAAAAACAAATGAATTCATAATCCAAAATAAAATACCTTTAATAGCTTTAGAAAATAAATCCACTGGATAAATGTAGAAAAATATTCCAAATACACATGACTTGGAAACAATATAACATTTTACATTATTTGAATTACTGTACATTTCCATTAGGGATCACTGTTTCTAAGGAATATAGCAGAGTAATTCTGTCATTAAGTTTGTAAAAACCTCTTAAAATATGGCAGAATATAAATAAACATAGGCATCATTAAGGTAAACAGACAAAAGAAAAAAAAAGTCATGAATCCTGTGCTCTCACTTTAGGCAATGGAGAGGTCCCGGAGACACTACTCGGTTGACACTGGCTCCAGCCATGGTGTTCAGCTGAACTTCAGAGATATACAGTGTCACAGAAGATGACTGCAGCCGTGTTTTTACCACTTCCAGTGGACATGTCAGAATAGCTCCCACTGTACCACCACATCTACAAAAAAAATGAAAGAAATAAAACTTACCTACTTAATTTTATAAATTAGTAAATATGCACTGAGCTGTGAAACATGTGAGCAACTGGGGCTTTGCAAAGGTACTAAAATTTAGAATTTTGGTTTCTGAAGACTAAATATTTTTTAATTTAATGTTTTACTTATTTGACTGTATGCAAAACACTTTCAGTAGCTAAATATCTATCTAGCAAGAAGAATTAGCTAAAGACTCCAAATTGTGTGTGTTGACTCTAAAATTTACTGGTATAAGACAACACAGCTTAAATACTATTTTAAGGGTCTATTTGGTACTCCCTGCCCAGATATTACTTACGGCTTTGTTGAAACCTAGATCATTATTTGAGGTATATCCTATCTCTCAAACTCCAATCCTATCTTTCAAAACTTAAGAAATGATCTTGAGAACAAGAAATAAATCACCAATGTCTCATATTTTAAATATCCAAATACCCAGAAGTGTTTCACTTACAAATAAATATGGCATTTGAGTCTCAAAATCTGAATCTCTCAGGCCCACATGTGGAAATTTGTGCAAAATAGGTAGGCTGAGTTAGAAGAACCCAATTTAAATACAAGGATCAATCACGAAAACAACAAAATAAAAGCTCTTAAATATTATGCAAGCTTTCAAAAGACATATGAGAAAGGCTGAGTAAGTTTTTAAATGCAAGAATGGGAAATAATTTTCTCTTAAGAGCATAAAAAGCTACCCCAGGAAGCCCTGAAAACTGCTTTCTAACTAGAGGAAAATCACTCAGGAGAGAGCTCTTACTGCAGTGAAAGAGCAAAGTAGACTGAGTCAGAAGTAATCCAGACCTCCAAAACAGGCATTAAAGGAAGAAAAAGAAAAACAGCCCACCAATAGAAAAATACAAAACAGTTCCACCTCTAGAACTGAAAAAAAGTATATATGGGAGGAAGTTATAGCTCAGTGGTAGAATGCATGCTTAGCATGCAGGAGGTCCTGGGTTCAATCCTCAGTACCTCCACTTAAAAATAAATAAGTAAATAAATTTAATTACCTCCCCTAATCCTCCCCCCAACAAAAAAAAGTATGTATAAAAATATATATAATAAAAGGAAAGCAGGCATATAACAACAATATCACTCCAAATAAAAGTTAGGACAAGAAATCATTAAATAAGAATATTTCATATTAACGTAACAGTACACGCCATCAAGAAAATAAAATTGAAACAAACTTTATGCGGTAAGAGTGAAATATTAATACAACAAATTAAAAAGGGAACACCTATATCTAAATAAAACTTGATTCTTACCTCAAACCATATTTAAAAAATTAACTCAAAATGGAGACCTAAATGTAAAACATGAAAACTATAGAACTTTTAGAAGAGAAAATACTTGGAGAAAAATGTTTCTGACTTTAGATTAGGCACAAATTTCTTAGATGAACAACAACAACCACAAAAGAGAAAAAGCATGAATCATAAAAGGAAAAAATTGATAAACGACTTCATCAAAATTAAAATCGCCCACCCTTTGGAAGAAACTGTTAATAAAATGAAAAGACAAGCCACAGTCTGAGAGAAAATATTTGCAAAACATGTATCTTATAAAGTGCTTATATAAAGAATTAAACTAAAAAAAAAAAAAAACTACTCAAACTAGACTTGAACAGGTATTTCACCAAAGATATACGGATGCAAATAAACACAGAAAAAAATTTCAAAATCATCTGTCATCAGAAGAATGCAAATTAAAACTACATTGAGGTACCACTGCACATTCACTAATGGCTAAAATAAAAAAGATTAACAACATGTGTTGATAAAGAGCAACTACAAACCTCAGACGTTGCTGGTGAGAATGCAAAACGGTACATTTTGAAAAAAAAAAAAAAGCACAGTTTGAAAGAAAAAAAAAAAGTCTGGTATTTCTTAGAAGGTTAAATACTACTGTCATTCAACCCTGAAATCCCATTTCTAAGGTGCTAACCTGGGAAAAATCAACAAATACAGGCATACCTCAGGGATATTGTAGGTTCAGTTCAAGAGCACCCCGATACAGTGAATACCATAGAGTATGCAGAATACCATAGAGTGAGTCACATGATTTTTTTTGTTTTTCAGTGTATATAAGTTATGTTTACAGTAGACTGTAGTATATTAAGTGTGCAATAGCAAAAAGTCTAAAAAACGTACATATCAATTAAAAATTGCTGCTGAAAAAATGGTACTGATAGACTAGTTCAACACATGGTTGCCACAAACTTTCAATTTGTAAAAAAAACCCAAAAAATAAACACATTATCTCTGAAGCACAACAATGCAAAGCACAATAAAACATGGTGTGCCCGTACGTGTCCACACAAAGACTTGTCCATGAAAGTTTATAGCAGCTTTACTCTTAGTAGCCCAAGACTGGAAACAACCGAAATGTCCATCAACAGATGAAGGACAAACTGTGGTACATCCAAACAATGGATTATTGTTCTATAATAAAAAGAACAACCTGGATGAATCTCAAAAGCATTATGCTAACTGAAAAAAGCCAGGCACAAAAGACTTTCATTTTATAACATTTCCATTTTTATGACACTCTAAAAGAGGCAAAACTAGAACAGAAATGAGATCAGTTAATTACTAAGAGGTAGTGGAGCTGGGACTGACTGCAAAGGGCATGGAGGATCCTTGGGATAACAGAAATGATCTATATTTTGATTATAATATAGGCACATCACCTTTTATTGTGCTTCGCTTTATTGTGCTTTGCAAATATTTTGTTTTTCACAAATTGAAGGCTTACAGCAAACTTGTGTTATCAGATGATGGGTAACACTTCTTAGTTGACCCTTGAATAATGTGGGGTTTAGGGGTGCCAACCCTCTGAACAGTCAAAAATCCCTCCCATATCTGTGGGGCTGCATTCAATCAATCATGGATCATGTTGTTTTGTAGTATATATCTACTGAAAAAAAAAAAAGTGTATATAAGTGAACCCACACATTTCAAACCCATGTTCAAGGGTCAACTGTATTTTTTAATTAAGGCATATAAATTTTTTTTAAAGACATAATGCTATTACACAATAGACAACAGTTTAGTATAAACATAACTTTTATATGCACTGGGAAACTAAAAATTCACAGGATTCACTTTACTGTGGTATTCATTTTATTGCAGTGGCCTGGAACTGAACCTGCAGGTTATCTCCAGAGGTATGTCTGTAGAGGTTACAGCACCTTACACTTCTGCTAAAACTCGCTGAACAGCTCTAACTGTATACCCTTAACAAAGAGCTAATTTTACTGCACATAATTATACCTTAATAAATCTGATGGAAAAAAAACCCAAATATGTGAAAATTAGTAGGAAATGCTAATATACAAACTAGCTGGGGTCAAATACAATTATATGTAATTTTAAAATTATAATAAAATTAAGATTTCAAAAAAATTTCACTTAGAGTTTTAAACATGAAATTTAAAGAATTTAATCCCCCCCACAAAAGATCAAAACCATTGTATTTTCACAAATCAAACATCAATTAGATACAAGGTAGGGTTAAGAGATTTGAGAAAAAATTAACTAGATCCAAGAAAGACCTCTACACTCAATAAACAAGAAACCAATATTTTTAAACATCTATGAAATAGGCTTAAAATCTAATTACATATAAGGCCCAAGGACAATCTTAAACAGAAGTCACAGTTTATTTATGTTAATTGTTGAGGCCAAGTGGTAAGAGATGTGAATCACCACAGTATACACTGTAGTATACACTGCAGAGCTAAAGAGAGTCTGGGTGGTAAACTACACAGTATTCACACTATTGTAGTGATTTATAATAGTAAATCATACTTGTTTTTAATTTGGATTTGCCTAGCTTTTATTTTTTAAGCTGTTTAATATATTTACTTTGTAAACTTATTGAGCATAAAACCCAATAGGCCCCAAATCTGTAAGAAACATGCATATTTGTTTTGATCTTATATTCTGTAAAACAAAGAACATAAATTACTTCCATAATTAAAAAAAAAAAAGCAAAGTTAGCACATAATAAGAATGACAACCTATGTCCTACACAGTCATTCCTGATTTCAAGAAAATAAACACGTGACACAGAGAAACCAACCAACCAACCCAGCAGGGAAAAAACAACACCTAGGCCTTACAGGCTTGTTGTAAAGATGGTATGATATAACTCATGTAAAGTTATTTTGTGATATGACACATAGAATGTACTTAGTAAGTATTAGCTACTAAAGTTGTCGGCATCTATTACTGATAATAGCAACTAAAATTTTGTAACAGAACTATTACAAATACTTAATGGCCAGACTACAGACAAGATATACATTGTGATTCCTAAAAAACCACCTCAACAAGTAAAATACATAATGATGATCTAAACTGTATCAAACTGGGGAGTGGTGTAAGTAGGTGTACACAACAAGCATTTAGGCTGTCCTGAAGCAGTTTTACATTACAAAATGCAATAGGTATGTGGTACAGGAGTGACACTCCAGTGTTTCTCATGCTGCTTTTATCTTAAGTCATACTGAAGTAATTATTATGTACACTGGAATCATTAGAATTTATGCAGAGAACAGAAACTATTGCTGTCAATAAACATTTAAAATATCTAGTTATGAAACAGAATTAACTACATTGATCTCTTTTCTCTCCATGTGCAGTGAAGCAAATGGAAAGGGTAACTGTCTTGGCAAAGAGGAAGAAAGGCTTGCAAAGGTAAATTCCAAAGAGAAGTACCCTGCAGAACCCCTTAGAGGCCTAATGATTAAGGGCACCAAGTACTCAAGATGGAAGTAAAGCAAAGAATGTCTCCTCAATATTCCCACTGCAAGTGCCTTAAAGCAGGCCCTCATTTTCTTTCTTGCCTTCTAACTGGTCCGAAGCCCTCCTGATCCAGTGAGGAGGACAGTGGGTTAAGATCAACCACAAGATGTCACCAATGTAGTTTGCTACTAATAAAAGTACTAAATTGGATGCTTTAGTATTAAAATAAAAAGTTACAATTTAAAGTTGCTCAGTCATTTGCTTTAAATGCTTTGATTAGCAAAGAATTCTAAGGAGAGAACAGCCAAGTTTGGTAGCTGAAGAGCATATAAATTTGTTATTCTGTAACATCAAAATTCTAGAAAGGAAACAGTTTCTAAGGTTATGAATATAAAATTTTTAAAATGTCACTATATCCTTGGTATATCCAGGTTAGAGCGCCTCTGCTGTATATTCTTAGTAAAACTACTTGGATCAACGCTTATTTTAAAGTTTTATAGGCAAATGTCATTTAAAGATATGAGGCCAAGATTGCTTGGTAAGAATCAGGTAACATAACTATGTATTGGTTTTAGAGAATGTTTAAGAATTGTTTAAAATGGTTATCACTAAACACCTTTATAAGACATTTAAAACTATTCTATTTTCATGATGTTTGCCAAACTATACAGTAAGTAATCAAGTCACCCGTGAATTTACTGCAGTGTAGACACACTTTTAGCTTATGGTATTTTGTAAATGTAAATGTCTGAGAATTTTCAGATGTTGCTTCTCCTTGTTATTATATATAGTGAGGATAAAAATTCTGACATTCCACAGGTTCTAACTACTTAAGGGCCTATGGATCCCTTGAGTAAAGCAGTGGCTAAAAGCTGCTTAGAATGGAGATTTTCCTTCCTTCCT